GTCTGGTTATCCTGGCTACCAAGGAGCACTCTGGCTGTACTTCTTCCAACACAAATCTGTTTGTTCTTTTGTCAATCCATGGTACTTTCAGTATTCTCCTTGGACAGCATTACTCAATACCACGGCTTGCACCAGTCACACCTTAGTCCTTAAACTGACATCTTTGCTCTTCAAATACTTTAAAGAAGTCTTGTGCAGATTTGCCCAATGCACTGTGTTGTATGATTTCTTGACTGTTGCTTCCATGAGTGTTCATGGTAGATCCAAGCAAAACGAAGTCTTTGACAACTTCAAGCGTCTCTCCATTTATATGGATGTTGCTTATTGGTCCAGTGGTGAGGATTTTTGTTTTCTTTACATTGAGATGTAACCCCTAGCAAAGGCTATGTATGGTCTTTACCAGTAAATATTTTAAGTCCTCTTCACTATCAGCAAGCCTGGTTGTATCATCTGCATATCACAGGTTGTTAATGAGTCTTCCTCCAATCCTGAAGCTGTATTATATGTATTATTCTTCATATAATATAGCTTCTCAGATTATTTGCTCAGCATTCAGGTTAAATAAGTATGGTGAAATAATACAACCCTGGTGCACACCTTTCCTAACTTTAAACGATTTGGTTTTCCCTTGTTCTATTTTAACAACTGGCTCTTGGTCTATGTACAGGTTCCTCATGAGCACAATTAAGCGTTCCAGCATACTCATAATTTGCAATGTTGTTCAGATCTTGTCATGATACACACATTCTAAAGCCTTTGTGTAGCTGATAAAGCACAAGTAAACATCTTTCTGATATTCCCTACTGAAAGCAGAGAATCTGACGTCAACAATGATATCCCTCATTCCACATCCTCTTCTGAAACCTGCTTGACACTGTGGACGTTCTCTGTCAATGTATGGTTGTAGCCATTTCTGTATTACCTTTAGTAAGACTTTACTCACATGGGATATCAACAATGTTGTCTGATGATTTCTGCAAGCCATTGGGTTACCTCTCTTTGAAATGGACACAAATACAGATATTTTCCACTCAGTTGGCCAGGTAGTTGTCTTCCAAATTTCTTGGCATAGTTGAGTGAGTGCCTTCAGTGCCACATCACTGTGTTGAAATATTTCAATTTGTATTCCATCAGTTAGTTCCCTATGCCTTGTTCTTTAACAATGACTTCAATGCATCTTGGACTTCTTCCTTCAGGATCATTGGCCCTTGGTCACATGCTACATTTTGAAATGGTTGAACATTGACCATTTCTTTTTTGAGACAGTGACTGTGTATTCCTTACATTTTTTTTTTTTTCATTTTTGTTTTTATTGTGAATTATGTGGGTTTACATGTGAGAACATCAGTTTTACATTCATCCTATTGTATTTTGTTTCATTGCAATGATTACAATCCCCTCTATGCATCATCAAATAACCAAAGGATACACCCCACAGGCCCGCCCCCTGGATGTCAGCACACAGCCCCCCTCTCCCTCCCTTATTCCAGTGTCCCCAGCCTTTCCATCTTCATTTTCTCTGTCTCCATCCCTGGTGTTGCTTCCTTTCTAGGTAGGGTCTCACTCTCTGCTCTTCTCACTTGATGGTCCCAGGGACCTCCACTCCTGGGCTGCAAAATCAATCACTTCCCTCCTTTTGTCAAAAAACATTAACCTCTACATTCCACTTCCATCTTCTTTTGATGCTTTCTTCATCATTCAGTATCTTGCCCACAGAATCCTTCAATACCACAAGTCGAGGTTTGAGTTTTTTCTTCAGTTCTCTGAGATTGAGAAATGCTGAGTGTGTTCTTCCCTTTAGGTTTTCAAACTCCAGGTCTTTAAACATTTTGTTTTAATATTTGACTTTGTCTTCTTGAGCTGTCCTTTGAAATTTTCTGTTCGATCTTGTACCTCCTCACTTCTTCCATTTGCTTTAGTATCTCTATACTACAGAGCAAGTTTCAGAGTCTCTTTTCCTTCTCTCATATCTTCTCAATGACCTTTTGCTCTCTTCCTGTATGATATTTTTAATATCATCCCACAACTTTTCTGGTCTTCGATCTTTAGTGTCTCAATGCATCAAATCTGTTCTTCAGATGATCCCTAAATGCAGGGATATAATCAAGGTCATAGTTTGGCTCTCGTGGACTTGTTTTTATTTTCTTCAGCTTCAGTCTGAATTTGCATATGAGCAATCAATGGTCTGTTCCATGTTCTGCCTATGGCCTTGTTTTGACTGTTGATATAGAGCTTTTCCAGAAGCTTTTTCCACAGATGTAGTGAATTTGATTTCTGTGTATTCCATCTGGTGAGGTCCATGTGTATAGTCATCTTTTTTGCTGTTTAACAAAGGTATTTGCAATGAAGAATTCACTGGTCTTTCAAAATTCTACCATGTGATCTCCAGCATCATTTCTATCACAAAGGCCATATTTTCCAACTACTAATCCTTCCTCTTTGTTTCCAACCTTTGCATTCCAATCACCAGTAATGATCAATACATCTTGATTGCATGTTTGATCAATTTTAGACTGAAGAAGGTGGCAGAATTCTTCAATTTCATCATCACTGGCTTTAGTGGTTGGTACGTAAATTTGAATAATAGTGGTATTAACGGTCTTCCTTGTAGGAGGATGGATATTATCGTATCACAGACAGCATTGTACCTCATGACTGCTCTTGATATGTTCTTTTTGATGATGAATGTGACGCCATTTCTCTTCAAGTTGTCATTCCCGGCATAGTAAACTATGTGATTGTCAGATTCAAAATGGCCAATACCAGTCCATTTTAGCTCACTAATGCCTAGGATATCGACGTGTATGCATTCCATTTCATTTTTGACAATTTGCAATTTTCCTAGATTCATACTTCCATATATTCCATGTTCTGATTAGTAATGGATGCTTACAGCTATTTCTCTGCATTTTGAGTTGTGCTCCATCGGCAAATGAAGGTCCTGAGGGCTTTATTCCATTCTTGTCATTCTGGTCAATTCTACTTTGAGGAGTCTGCTTTTACACAGTGGCATTTTGAGTGACTTCCAACCTGAAGGGCTCATCTTCTGGCACTATATCTGACAATATTCTGGTGCTCTTCATTGCAACATGTTTCAATATTCAATAATCCAGTGCTCTTCATCATGTTTCAATATTCAATAATCAATGACAGGGTACCATTGCTACTCATAAAGTTTTCAAGGACTAAATAAATATTTGAAAGTAGTTTCTCTCTCCTTCTTCCTAGTATGTCTTCATCTGGAAACTTATCTGAAACCTGTCCACTGTTGTTGACCCTGATGGTATTTAAAATACAGGTGGCGTAGCTTTCATAATCACAGCAACACACAAGCCACCACAGTACGACAAACTGACAGATGAGTGGTAAATGATTCCATTGTTGTTGTTAGGTACCTTCGAGTCGGTACCGACCCATAGTGACCCTATCCACAGCAGAACAAAACACTGCCCGATCCTGGGCCAACCTCACTACTGTTGCCACGCTTGAATCCATCGATGCTGCCACTTGGCCAATCCATCTCATTGGGGTTCTTCCTCTTTTTCTCTGACCCACCACCTTACCAAACATGATATCCTTCTCCAGTGACTGGTCCCTTCTGACAATATGTCCAAAGTATGAGAGATGAAGTTTGGTCATCTTGCCCTCCAAGGAGCACTCTGGCTGCACTTCTTCCAAAACAGATCTATTGGTTCTTTTGGCAGCCCATGACACTTTCAATATTCTCCTCCAACACCATAATTCAAAAGCATCAATTCTTCTACGGTCTTCCTTATTCACTGTTCAGCTTTCGCATGCATATGATTCCACTACCCATCTATAAATTATCTTGACCACCAGTGGGTATCAGGCATCATACTGAGTGCATGGTTGTGTCAATTTACAAATGTGCACAACTAGGTTTTAGAATTTGACCACCAGGTACATCCTGAACCCACCATAACTAATTATTTACAATATTCATAAATATTTGATATTTTTAAAATTCAAACTAGGGTCAAATTCAACAATATAACTATGATTGCCTTTGTTTATGACACCCATTTTTAAAAATTAGACCAAGGATACTTAAAAATTATGTACATTCTCAATATAAAGCAGGTATTTCCCCCTAAGACTAGTGTATCAAAAATGTCTCAGAACATTTTTTCTCAGTTACTTTATTTTCAACAAAATACCATTTGAGGAAGAGCCAGTAGACAAAACTAACTCTTTTTGACAATAATTTGGGATACTTGATCTATCCAAATTAGTTAGAGGAAACAAAACAAAACAAAACAAAAGGACACACATTTAGTCATTATTCCTGGAGGCAAATCCTCTAAATTACAAGTATTAAGTATGACTCTAATTAGGTCTTTATCCTCCTCCCCAATGGAAACCTATAACGTTTTATTTTTTAAAAATGTATAGTTTCAGAATAGATCTAAATGTGACTTTTCCAAAAAACACCAGCAAAGCACCTCTCATTAAATAAATCCTTTGTTTTGTGGTACACTGCATCAACATTTTGTATGCAACTTGATACAAAGTGAATTTTAAGTTTGTACATTGTATTTGAAACAAAAAGCAACCCACCAAACAAACTCGCAAACATTAACAAATGAAAATGGATGACTACAACTACTTTAACTGCAACAAACTCCAACAAAGGACATTTTCTTCCAAAAAAAGTATTCTTTTTTATATACACAGCCTACTAATACTCAACTGTTTTAATTTAATTTAGTTGTACCAAAGGCAAAAATTTTATATTTAAAAAGAAAACTAAGTTACAGATGCACAAAGAACCAAAGTTTAATATACCAAAGGCATGTTTGATGCACTTAATGTCATTATTTGGGACAACTTTAAGGTTAAAAAAAATGTGTTATTAACAGCTTATAGAGTAATATTAAAGATAACTCAAAAGGAAAGTGAAAACCTCCTTTATACCATATTTTCACAGTTTGTTCTAAGGACAGTAAACTTAATCCCACTTCTTTTTCCTTTAATTTAAAACAAGCCACCTCTTAACCAGTTTAAAATGTATTGTTTCTGGATCAAGTATAAACATTCATATTTGCAACAATGGTTTGCAATGAGTCCTTGACCTTAATCAAGGTTTACGTTCAAGTCTTTTAAAGATGACTTTGAAAGCAAGATAAGTTACATTGTCATCAACACCAATACATACAATTCAAAAGAAAAACATACAAAATAAAACAAAACAAAAAACCTGTCTTCATGATATGTAAAAAAACAAAAATTTAGTCAGGACTAAAAAAGGACCATTTCTCAAAATTTTCAATTTCTAGGGAAATTGTACCAAGTGAATACAAAGGTAATGAAAATGAACAAATATAGGATAGTCTGCATACAGTTGAATAAGTATATGGTTATAAACCACTATTGTTGCTGTTAAGTGTCACTGAGTTGGTTCTGACTCATAGCGACCCATATAGGGTTTCTGAGGAGAGGCTGTTGAGTTTGAATTGATGCTCTTGTGGTTCAAACTGACCGTGCAGCCCAGTGCTTATCCTACAGTGCCACGGTAGGACTCTCAACACACACAACCCACAACAAATGAAACCTTATTTAGTTTCTCCTTACAGCAGCTGCTGTGAGTCTCTGGGTGACACAAATGGTTAAGTGCTTCACTGTTTGCTGAAAGCTTGGTGGTTCAAATACATCTCTAGAAATCTAGAAATAAAGACCTGGTTATCTGCTTCCCAAAAGTTGTTGGCGTTAAGTGCCGTGAAGTCAGTTCTGGCTCATAGCAACCCTGAATAGGGTTTCCAAGGAGCGACTGGTGAATTTGAACTGCCGACTTTGCAGTTCAAACTGACCTTGCAGTCCAGTGCTTTATCCCACAGCGTCACACTAAGACTTGTAAACTCATTGGAGTAGTTCCACTCTGCACACATGGAGTTGGCATGAATCTGAAAAGACTTCACAGCAAGCATAGCAGCTATAGCTGGGAGCAGCAGACCATCATGCCAATCCCTCACCCTCACACCCCCACATCTCTATGTGCTTCTTTGTAGTCACTATAAGAACAAAACTTATCAGTCCATTTACAAAAGGAAACTGGAAGAAAAAATTCCAATGCTAGTTTACCCAGCTCATGAAACAACTGCATTGTAAGGATTTTTTTAAACCACTGAAATTTAACTTCTGAATGACATCCAATATGGAATTTTTCTTCTTTATTAAAAGCCAAGCTATGCTAAGCAATAATGGGAGACAGACCTTTTTTTTATAGGATGAGATGACAAACCAGCCATTCTCTAGCAAATAAAATAGAGAATCAAAGCTGGAATCAAGACCACTTAGAATTGGAAGTGAGAACCAACTAAAAGGAAGCAGAAGCAGATGTGTCATGGAGCAGTGTTTTCCTGACCAATGCATAGTACCTTCAACACTTAGCATGGAAAGAAATGTTTTTTTATTAGGTGCTGAATTACAGAATCTGTCTACCAATAGCACTTCCACTAACTAGTTTTTTTCTGTTCCTTCTTTTTAAATCGTATCAGGTGATTCTATTTAGTACCTAAATACTAAAGAGTATTTAGTAGTCATTACAATGTCATTAAAAAATACTAAATAGTTTTAGCAGTCATTAAATAATACTTAAGATATATCCATATTACCTGGACTAAAACATTTGTATTATTGCAATAGTGTTCTGTTTTCACTCAGTAGGCAGATCCTAGCTAAGAAACCAAATAATCAGAAATGGTTTCACAACATTATCTTTGTAGTAGCTGAACTTCATAATAAAAATCCTAAAAAATGCTGATATTTTACCAATATGTGGTAAAAGTATTTTGACAATGTTTTTCTACCACTGGTCATTATTAAGCAATTATTGATTTAATATTTACTAAATCATATATAGCCATACATCAAACCTACAGTTAAAGTATTCAATAAACAAAATAGCCCATTGGCTGTGCTCAGGGGTTTGTTATTTTCTATAATTTAAAATGAACAAATATTGGTTGAATTTGCTTCATTTATGTTGGCAATCATATCTATAACCTAGGGCATGTTGGAAGATGCCTAAAAAAAGATAAAGAGAAAAAACAAACTACAGATGGAAGAAACAACAAATCTTTCAAAATAACTAAATGTGGATGGATAGTAAAAGTCATGATGGAGATCAAATTAATTCTGTCAAATACAAACTCATAAAATAGTTTGATTGGTTTAAGGGATGGCATGGGGGATAAAAATAGAAATATACACCATAATAAAGTTCTTACTTCCATTGCACCTAAAAGATTTGCACTCTCTCCAATGCTTTCTTCTATGTACCTACGTTCTTCATCGGTAATAGTAGGATGCTTTGCGGGACTCTCATAAGACACCAAAAGCCAAAACATGTACCAGACCATTCCAAAGCTTCCTGCAAGTAAGAGTGCAAAAGGAGAGTCAAAGAAAGCCACAACATCCTTTAATAGTCATTTTGCTGGAATAAGAGGATAATATTTCTACCATAAACACATTCTACAGGATGGGGAATTTGAGCTACTTCAACTGACTTTAGATATCTCTTCTTGTCTTTTACCACTAGACCTCAAGCTTCCTGAACTCTTGCCCTGAGATTTTATCTCCCTGTTTACATTGAACAGTAGGTGGTATAGAAGAAACAATGAATAATACTAAATGGATATAGTATTTGGAACTCATTCATATATTCAGTAAATATCTACTGAACAGTTACTGTTCCAGGCACTCTGCCACGTGTGAGAAGTATGATGTACAAGACACAATATCTGTCCTCAAAGACTTATGTTTAGGATAAATTCTTTTATTAGTTGTCTTCTTGAATATATAAAACTGATTCACATTTCTAGATAAAAGAAATGCTCATTTCCATCTTCTGTTAATATTTCCAGACTCAGTAAATAGGATACTGAGTAAAATCCACTAGATTCCGTGGGCCCAAGTAGTTATATTACATGAAAAATGATCCTCCAAAATAAATGTAATAACATATAATGCTTTATGTGACTGTATGCCATATTATTTTTAGCACAAACTATTGACTCGGGATACCGTAGAAAAATTGATGCATTTGAGTTATGGTGTTGGAGGAGAATATGAAAATGCCATGGGCTGACAAAAGAACAAACAGATCTGTGTTGGAAGAAGTGCAGCCAGAGTGCTCCTTGGAGGCCAGGATGGCCAAACTTTGTCTCTCATACTTCAGACATATTTTCAGGAGGGACCAGTCGCTGGAGAAGGATATCATATTTGGTAGAGTGGAAGGTCAGAGAAAAAGACTAAGACCCCCGGCGAGATAGATTGGCAAAGTGGCAGCATCTATGTGCTCAAGCATGGCAACAATTGTAATATTGGCCCAGGACCAGGCAGTGTTTCGTTCTGTTGTGTATAGGGTCGCTATGAGTCAGTATCAACTCAATGGCACCTAACAAAAACAACATTTGGCTATGGATCATTTTTCAAATAGTTGGAATTTATAAATTCTAACACAATAAACTTTTGCAAATCCTTTGAGGACTGAGGTGCACTTGACTCAAGATATGGTATTTTCAATCACTTCATATGCAAGTGAAAGTTGGACAGTGAATAAGGAAATCCGTAGAAGAATTGATGCATTTGAATTACGGTATTGGCAAAAAATATTGAAAGTGTCATAGACCTCCAGAAGAGCAAACAAATTTGTCTTGGAAGAAATACAGCCAGGATGCTCCCTAGAAGTGGGATGGTGAGACTCTGTCTCTCTTACTTTGTTGTCTGAAGGAAGCCATCCTGGAAAAGGATGTCATTGTAAGTCAAAATGGCTCAATGGCACCTAACAACAAGTCCTTTTCTATCTTTTCTTTAACATTTCATCATTAAATCATGCTCTTATTATGTAATATAAATCCAAAATTATTAATAATAGAAAGAATTTCAAATCGTTTGTTCTGATTTCCCATCAGTGGTCCATTTCGTTGTTTCCTAATACTATTTGTTTGTACTTTGGTTTATGATCTAAATGTTTCTGGTCTTTATAATACTTTTGTCTGCCTGTTCAAACTTTACTGAGTTCACCTTTATACTATAGCTTATGATGAGCTCTTCTCTTATTAATTACTAAATATGGAAGCAAACACTATTTGAAGTCAAATAGAACATGCAAATCTAAAAGAATAATGTGGTGCAGTGAATTATTTAATGCCTTGTCTAGTCATTGTTGATGTTGTTAAGTGTCGTTGAGTTGATTCTGACTCATAAACATGCTGTATAGGGTTTCAGAGACTGTAAATCTTTAGTGGAGCAGATAGATTCATTTTTCTTCCACAGTCTTTGTAATCTCCCATCAAACAACTTTTTTCTGATGAATCTGAATAAGAAAAGGTGGGGACAGATGCTGATGTACTATATGATTCAGATGTGAGTGGTTAGCAGAGTTACCTGTGGTTGTAAAAACTTGGAATGGGTGATATCTCTACCAATGAAAAAGCCAAGAGTAGAGAATGTGCTTTGGACCCAGAGATCCCTGAGCACTGATGCTCCTCAATGCCCGGACAGAAAGTTGTGACACTGGAGAAGTGGCAGAAGAGTTGCAGCAGCAAAAAAGAAAGAAAAAAGAACTAGAGCACCAGATAGAGCAGTGGACTTCCCAGGTCAAGGAGCAAAAACAGCTGAATGACAATGGACAGGAAGCTTAATTGTAGAGTGGGTGCCTCTGGGTACTTAATTAAGGGAACTGCTTGCTGACCCATGGAGGAAGAGCCAAGTGCCTTCAGGCTGAGATTTATGGTGGAGTGGTGTGCCTTTTAGGTATTTATCAGCAGCATTAAAGGAGCTTTGTAACATTGCCCAGGCAGAGAAAGGCTGTCTGTGGGTACAGCTAAGGAGAGCCTGTCCTGACTGAAAACAAAAACAAAAAAACAAAAAAACTTGACCCTGTGCATTTTCTGATCCTGCATAGTAACTTGTTGTGTTATTGTTGTGTACTGTCAAGTCGGTTCTGACCCATAGCAACCCTGTATTGGGTTTCTGAGGTGCAGCTGCTGGTTTGGAACTGTTGACCTTTCAGTTAGCTGTCCAGTGCTTATCCTGCAGTGCCACACCAGGACTCCTTGTAATCTGTTAGTGTCACTAATAAACCCCATAACTGTCTGGTGTGAGTTCTGTGTGGTCACTGTAATCACTTATCAAACCCAGCTAAACAGAGAAGGCTGCAGGAGAAATGGTTGTCATCATTTTCACAGGTACGTTGTTGTTGTTGTTGTTAAGCATCCTTAAGTTGGTTTTAACTCATAGTGACCCTTTTTAAAGGTTCCGAAGAACAAGTGGGGGAATTGAAACAACAAACCTGGGGTTAGCAGTCCAGTGCTTATCCTACAGCACTACACCAAGAGTTCATCCTGGCTCCAACATCATAGCTGCACCCTATAAATAAGTGCTTTTAAACTGTTTGATCATGTTTTGAAAGTCTAGGAAAGCTATAGGTAAAAAAAAGTATGATGAAAAGTTGTCTTTAAAAATAAATACAAGGAACTCTGGTAGGACAGTGGTTATGAATCAGGCTGCGAACTGCAAGGTCAGCAGTTTGAAACTACCAGATGTTTTGCTGGAGAAAATGAGACTTTTTTTTACCTCCGTAAAGATTTATAGCTTTGGAAACCCTGTACAGGGTCACTATGAGTCAGAACCAACTCCACAGCACATAACCACCAGGCTACAATCAAAAAGACAGGGAGACCAACCTGGAGCACTAGAGGAACAAAAGACACTTCCTGAAGGAACAGCAGGGGAGGGGGGAACAGATTGTTCGGCTGTGACAATATCCAACAAGTTGTTTGCCTTGGAGACATCAAGGCAAGAAAATCAACTCATCAGGGTAAACCACTATCTAAGACTGAAACCCAAAGGGAACACACGAGTAGTCTTGTAGGCTCACTGGTGACCACCATGTCTTCACTGGTGACAATGAAGACGTGGGCTGAGCTTGGCCATGTTCTGTAGACACCTGATGACCTTGAGATGAAAGAGAGAAGAATGAGGAAGACTGGGTGGTTTGAAATCCAGGGAGATGTATGAACACCCAAACCTAAGAACACTGGCCTAACCACCCTAGGCTAAAATTAAGAATGAAGTGGCCAGCTGATCTGAAGTGGGGGAAGGTGGGTGAGAACTCCCAAACTAGCAGATAGCACCCATTCAACCTAGCTTGGATGGCTTGCTGATCAGAATGCTATCAGATACAGATAAAGAAGTTTGATACAGCAAGCAAGCATAAATTGATACAACTTGATGAACTAGACCTTTGCTTATGGATAAAGTTGCCCAAAATTCCAACTAAAAGGGAAGCATTCTTCATATTCAGGATCAAGCTTGTCTCCTTGGCACTGGGTTCATAAGAACAGGCAACTTAGACTTCAGCTACCAAAACTGGGGGGATTAAAAAGGCATGAAGTAGCTGGCTTACAAGCTTTCATGAGGGTAGTTAGGGTCCGAATGAGAGGGATGAGATGGAATCCCCAATGAATAGTTTTCATCTTGTCTAGATGGATCTGATAATGATGGGGATAGGATTTTATGATTCAATTGTGAATAATTGTTATCAGGTCTAATGGTGATTGGCACAACTGTAAATGCAGAAGAGGTGTAACTAAAAGGGTGGAGCAGTTAATCTCTCATTTCAGGAACAGAGGACCCTAGTACCATCAAGAGGGAAGACTGTGAGAGGAATGAGGGATTTTAACCAGAAAAGCAGCAAAAACAGAGATAGTGGCAGAGACAATGCATAGAGATACAGAGCAGCAGAGGACCATAGGCCCATGAACTGAGAAAGGCAGTGTGCCTGTGGGCAAGAGGCTGGCTAGCAAAATGCACCCTTTGAACATTTAAACAAATATATATATGTTTAAATGTTCACATATACACATATCACATTGAATATATATATATTCAATGTGATATGTGTACATCAAAAAAGGGAGGGTAATAGAGGTAAATACTGTTAGCTGTTGGTGCATGGAGGGGATTG